TCCCAGCTGCAGCCTCTTTTCCCATCAGTCCCAGTCCTTATTGTCCCTCAGCTTCGCCTCCTTCACCAGTCGAGCATCGCTGAGCTTTGTGCCGTGTCCGGTCCTCCTTGTGAACGTTCCCATCCTTCAGTTTATGTTCGTTGTTGATGCCACGTCAGCTTTTTGTTTGAATAATTTGGGGGGTTGTATTCGGTCTTAATATTTATTCCTTGGTCTTGCGCCTCCACAAACTGAAACCAGGAGGCCATTTTGTCTTTATTAATGTCACTGAAGCGCCATAAATTAACCTGAAACGCGAGAACACAACTCTTCTATCAAACGTATCTCATCAGAGACAGGAACAAGTTGTCCCGGGTGGTCAAACAAGGTAGTAAAGTCATTGGTCATCAACAAACAACACCTTCACTTCTACATTTGACCACAGCTTTGATATTATTGTTTTTATTTAGCTTCAAGATACTAAAAGATACGCTCCTCGAGTTATCGCTAATGGCAAGCGGTAGAGAAAAAATGGCGGATCGGATTGTTTTGTAAGACTCCACAGACTCCTCCCCCCGACCAACCAGTGACCGACAGTGTTTTTGACGTCTCGGCTCGGCTCGGCTCGCTTGGACCCCTTGAGAAGCCGGGCCAGAATTTAGGGAGGCGAGCCGGTCCCAGGAACAGTGGAAAGACCTCAAACGCGCGTCAAGCCGGAATTATCCGATCCGCGACGTGATAGTGGAAAAGGGGCGTTACAGACCTGTACAGTCAGGTTGTGGAAAAAAAGTCAATCCAGGTTTACAATGAGCCAACTCATCCACTGCCACCATTATTCAGGTTGGTACCATCTGGTAGAAGACTGCTGGTTCCTTTAGCAAAGAAAAATGGGTACAAAAAGTCATTTGTTCCCTCTGCGGTGAATGTACTTATTTAAACGCAGCCTCACATGACAAACCACTGTCTGCTGGAATGTTTCCATATTTTAATGTATCGTGTATTTCAGAATGGTTTTAACTGCATGTTTTTAATTGATTTAGCAAAGCTTGGTTTTAAAGTTTTTAAAGTTTTTTTTAATTACATTTTTACTGTTTTTATAAGCCAGATGTCAAAGACAAATCTCCATTTCATTGAATGTTATGGACAATAAAGTTGAAATGATTGATTGATTGATTGATCATTCAACCTTTATTTAAACAGGTTGAGCCTCGGTGACTCATTTACAAGAGAGACCTGATTTGTTTAACAAAGAGTGATGACAACAACAACAATAGACAATCATAAGAGGCATACAAATGTATTTATTTATTTTTGATGTGTCGTCTGCAAACAATGATCTTATCTGGCTACAGGAAGCTAATGTTTGTCGCATTTTTGTAAAATGTGGAATGCTAATGTAAATACTCCTTCAGGAAGATGTGCCAAGTCTATTTTAAGTGTTTGTTTTTATTATTATTTTTATAAATTTAGCATGGCCGTTAAACGCTCTCTTAGCACATTTAAAGGATAGTGTTTTATCTAATGGTTATCAATAGTTACCATTATTTGTTGTAAATATTTTTACTATCTATATATAGTTTATTATTAAATTATTGAACTCTGATCAATAAAGAAGCAGCAGCAGCTGCTACAACCCACAATGTTTTTTAATATATTATTTTAAAGTGTGCAGGTTCTGTGTTAAATATCTGTTTATTTAAATTAGGCAGTTACTGATAGTTTGATTAATCAAAATGGCATAGTCCCCCCCCAAAAATAAATAAATAAATAAACAGCTTTGTTTATCAACCAACTGATTTTTCAAAGATGTGTAGAAAAACTCGTTTCTCATCTCTGGTACTAACTTTTACTAACTATTGTACCAAACATGACTTCAATGGACCAAACAAAGCTCTTGTAAATAAACGCTCGTAGTTTAGACGTCAATTCTTGGAATAAAACTTAAAAACTTGGCATCATCAAATGTTTAGGCCTAATATAATCTAACAGAGATCTTCTGTAAAGTATTAAAAGGGTAAAACAGACCTTGTTTTAATACTAATATCCTGGTTCTCGTTCGTTTATTTAAAGTTTTAATATTTCACGATGATGTCGAGGACCGGATTGAGACGGCAGAAGGGCCGCTTCTGGCCCTCGGGCCTTAACTTGAGCTCTGTAAATCAGACTTTTTGACGTTTGTTGCAGGGTTCGCAATTTAGCGCGTAGCCCTGAAGCATTTTCAACTTTCTCTGTGACGTCACTGAAGCAGTTGGAAAAAAAAAAACTAACCTCGCATTTTAAACTCGCGGCAAAAGCTGTCAAACATTTTTTATGTATTTTGAGCGTTTCGGTGCTGCGAACCTTTTGTTTTGAAGTGCGTCGTGTTTGTAGATTTACGTAAACGCGGCCTGAAAACGGACTGAAGCCCGTTGATTTGTTGAAATCATAAGATCGTGAGCTCGTGTAGGAGCTACGATGAAAAACAGAGTCGTCAGCGTAACGAGACGTGTTATTAACAAATAAACGTATCTATCACCCGTTATTGTTCAGGCCAGCATTAAACGCATCTTTAACGAGAGACAAAGTTAATGTTTAGCTTTTATGGCGCTCACATTTCAGTTTTATGATGATGTCAATAGTTAATGGTGTCTGAACGGGGAGGGTGCGCTTGTTTTCTCCGTCCGCTCAGCCGTGAGCTTCAGCGTCTCTCCCCTCTGGAATGAGAAACAGCTGCCTGCTGCTTTTACAGATGTGCCTCCTCCTCTGTTCTGATTCCTGTCCTCCTCTCGCTCCTGCAGGTGTTGTGCCTGATCACGGCTCCGGTCACGATGATCCTGTCTTCGCAGCAGGACGCCTCCTTCGCGTTTGCCTCCCTGGCGGTCGTCTTCTCTGCCTACATCACCCTTGTGGTGCTCTTCGTTCCCAAGGTGAGCCGGCTTTGGGCTGATATCCTGGAAATGGAAGTGCAGATTTTCTGCTACATCTTCCTCCAGCGCAACGCAGCCTCGCGTTACATCTGTTAAAAAAATTGTGTGTCAGGGGAGAAAATCATCTCCTGGTTCAGGCAAAGTGAGAAATTTCACACGCCTGCATGAACAGAAGATCCTGCAAGCAGCAGAAGTTCAAGCTTTAAGTCACAGCAGCTTCATCTCCGGTTGATTTTCAGGCTATTTCTGGGGGAGTTGTGCAGATCTGACGCCGCAGTGAGCGTCAAGCATGTCACAATAAGTGTTAAAAAAAACGTGACTTTAAAGTCTCTTCAGAGCTGGGAGTATTTTTAGACCCACGGGGTTTAGATTAGGTGCATTATTCATTCTGCTCGGCGCAGCCTCACAGATTGGCTTCCTTGTTTACCGACTTCCTGTTGCTGTGGACGTGCAGATGCGGCGCCTCATCACCCGCGGCGAGTGGCAGTCGGAGCAACAGGACACCCTGAAGACCGGGTCGTCCACCAACAACAACGACGAGGAGAAGTCGAGGCAGCTGGAGCGAGAGAACAGAGAGCTGCAGAAGATCATCCAGGAGGTGAAAACATTTTAAACACAAACGGCAAAAACAACATCATCCAAGTCTTCTAATTAATTTTAACTAATGCCGTGTGAGAGCTCTTCAAAGCCATCTGTCGTGTGCTCTGTTGATAATATGTTTTATAAACGTGCTTCAGTTTTCACACAAAACTGGACGACAACACTGAGCAAGAACCAAGACGTGTTGTACAATCTGTTGCCACATATTGCTAAAAGTTAATTAGCTCCATACTAACTCTCCTGTTGCTACGTTAAGCTAATTAACATTGTGCGAACTCTGCTGTTGTTACATTAAGCTAATTTGCGCCATGCTAACACACCTGTTGTTACATTAAGCTAATTAGCGCAATGCTAACTGCTGTTGTTACATTAAGCTAATTAGTTAAATGCTAACTCTGCTGTTGTTATGTTAAGCTAATTAGCGCCATGTTAATGCTGCTGTTGTTACATTAAGCTAATTAGTTAAATGCTAACTCTGCTGTTGTTATGTTAAGCTAATTAGCGCCATGTTAATGCTGCTGTTGTTACATTAAGCTATTTAACACCATGCTTATTCTGCTGTTATGTTAAGCTAATTAGCTCCATGTTAACTCTCCTATTGTT